TCTTATCTTAACAAAATCTGCTGACACATGGAACGTCATTTCCTTTGGATGGATGGACAGTGGTGGGGCTGGAATTCCTCTTGGACCCCTCTCTTGCCTTTTCTTCAAGTTGAGAAAGCTCTTCCCCTTTAGCAAAAGCCACTTGACATCAGTTACTAAGGCTGGCAAAGCGGAAGGAAGTGTGGCTTTAGCTTCTTCTCAGCTGCCGTATCTTCTAGAAACATCAGTCCTCCAGATCTGCCCAATAACTTTGCCCTGAATGACAGAAATAGCCCCAAAGAGCCAACTGACTGCACCCAATGAAATTCAGGGCAGTTCTATAAAGATTGAGGCAGCTTTGTGTGCTTTGATTTGGAGTGATGTTAAACTGCATCATGGAGAAGGAAAAGCCAGCTGAGCATGGTGGCGTACACCTGTGGTTCTAGAGGCTCTGGAGACTGAGGCAGGAGGATTGAGAGTTCAAAGCCAGCCTCAGCAACTTAGGGAGGGCCTAAGCAACTCAGTGAGACCTTGTCTCTAAATAAAATACAAAATAGGGCTGGGGATGGGGCTCGGTGGCTACACACTCCTGAATTCAATCCCTGGTTTAAAAAATAGAAGAAGAGGAAGAAACCCCCATACCACCCATTGGAGAGGACACTTCAACTCAAACCAGTGGTTGCCTCTGGAGAGAAGATGCACTGGTTGGGGAAGGGGTAAGAAGGAGGCTTACTTTTTATTGCATTGATATCTTTGAGATGATACACCATAAGCCTACAGCGCCCATCCAAAAAATAAAGTGTAGTTGAAAAGCAAAGTCGACTAACAACACCTTTACCACTCCAAGGTATCTCTTATCCTCAACTTTGGATTAACCAGACAGTACTGAGAATAGTCAAGCAGGTGGGAAGGCAATTCCTTTTCAGGGTTCGGTGCAGAAGGAATGAAAACTAACCAAGGTTTTTTTGAATCCTGAAATACATGAGCTGTTCTGGGTTTTGCTTTTTTTATTCGGGGATGGGGCAGGAGGGGGGATGGGGGTATGGCATAGGCTGGCAAGATAGATGGGTTTGCCCGGTGGCTGGTTGAGGGAGATCCCCATTATTCACTGGTTCCTACGCACCAGACACTTTACACAATCAACCATTTTTCCCTTATAGCTTTGTGGGGTGAAGGCTAATGATCTCTCCGTGTGAGGAGGAGGCCAGGCAGGCGGTATAGGATGGGTTTGAAGCTCATTCTGGGAGCTTCCAAAATCCAAGCTCTGTTGAGAAAGAAAATGGCAGCATTCGGGGTCTGTGTGGATTTCTTCCACCTACTTCCCCATCTGGGAACCAGTCATGTCCCCTCTGAGGGGAGAAGGCAGGCAAGCTGGGGCCACAGAACTGGACAGCGTGGACAAGGGCAAGGACTGGAGTTTCCGGAAACAGCAGACAGTGGCATTTTGAGAACAGAATGAGAAGGAAGGTCCCTGCTCCCTCTGTGCATGGGTTTGGTTGTGAAAGGCCACCTTTGCCCATCCCCCACTCACCAGGCTGAATCATCACATTCCTGTATGAACTGACGCATTCAGGAAAATTTTGTTTTGTTTTTGAGTATCAGAGATTGAACTCAGGGGCACTCAACCACTGAGCCACATCCTCAGCCCTATTTCATATTTTATTTAGAGATAGGGTCTCACTGAGTTGCTTAGTACTTTGCAGTTGCTGAGGCTGGCTTTGAACCCGAGATTCTTCTGTCCCAGCCTCCTGAGCAACAGGGATTACAAGTGTGAGCCACCGCGCCCAGGACGGGGAACTGGAATGCAGTGGTGTATCATCATAGACAAAGCCTTGTCCTCATAGAACTTATGCTTGAGGATCCTTTCCCACCTCAGCCCCTCAATTGGTTGGAATTAGAAGCTGACATCATTTGGGCCTCAGATACTCAATGGGTAACTAAAAGCAGGGTAGTTTGGCATCTCTGCCTTCATTTTGTATCTGTCTTCAGACTGCCTGCTCAGCTTTGCACACAAGTATGCTAATCATTTAAAGAATGTACGTACGTCTAAAAACTGGTAATACAAGGTTTATTAGCCCTACACGACCTAACCCATCTTGACCTCCTTCAAGACTGTGAACACCAAGATAAAAATAATTAAGGTATTTTCAAGATTTGAAGGAACACTCCACTGCCAGGTTTTACAACGTCCTGTCCCAGATCCCTGGAGGGGTGCCTGAGAGTCTCCAGTTATTGCCCCACACCTTTTCAGGAACAATGAAGCCCAGCCCAGGATGAAACTTGTCAGGCAAAATCACTTGTCTAAGATGCCAGGCACAGGGGACTAAAAGGCAATATTTCATGTTCTCCCTCCTGTCCCTCTGCAGGAATAAATATCTCATCCAAACCAAATTGCCCCCTTCCATGATCACAGGCCTGCTAGATAAATGTCCTGAGCAGCAAATGGAAATTGCCCCCTCAAGTGATAAGAACTTCAGTGATAGGGCTGGGGATGTGGCTCAAGCGGTAGCG